TCGCCGTGGTCCCCCACCGGCTCCCTTCCGTCCCCACGGTCCGCGTCCCGGGGGAGGCTTCCGCCCGGCGCCCACACCCGTCCCCAGCCCGGGCTCCCGCTCTTCAGAGAAGCAGCCTCATTCCACTCTGAGTGTCTGCAGGCGTCCTCCAAGCAAAACACAGGAAGCTTTCCTTTGCACGGAGCCCTGGGCGTGTGTGCCTCCTTGGCTCTGAACCACCACGGTTTCATCCAATCACAGCCCAACTGGCCTGAAGCATCAACACCAGGCAGACGAGGACGGGGGAGGAGAGGTTTGTCAAAGGAGCTTTGTCCTGTTTGGAAGAAGATGTGACTTCGGGGAGGCCACAATCTTTCAAGGCTGATTCAAGCCTGAACTCTGAGAAGCTTTCCCTGAAAACTCCAGACAGCGGTCAAGTCTCCTTTGCTGTGACCTGCCAAACGGCGCTTAGGTCTGCAGCCCAAACTTCGGGCCTTTAATACGTGGTGTTAGCTCGTCCTCTAAGGGGCTCAGCTACATACGCTTGGCCTCCGGCTGCAGGAGTTACTTACTTCTGCATGACACTGACCCCAAAACTTGGTGGGCTAAGACCATCAACCCATTCCAGCCCTGGATTCTCTGGGCCAAAAAATTCAGGGTGGGCACAGTGGGGAGGTCGGAAGCTCCAGGCAGGAGGGCCAGAAGGCAGGGAGGGACTGAGCGGCTGGGGGCAGGCGGGAGTCACCCAGAGATGTCGTCACGCACACTCACAATTTCTAGTCCTAATGCGGGTCTAGTGAGATGTCACCTTCTCCAGGAGACCTGCCCGGACACACGGCTCTTTTCTACCATCACAAAATATTTGAAGTGCTGCCTGGTTGCTTGCTTGCTCCCCCACGGAGCGGCAAGCCCTGTGAAAGCAGAGACAAAACCCGTCCCAGTGGCCATCGTGTGGCCGTGCCTGCAGCGCAGGGAGCCCTCAAAGAACAGGGGGCAGCTGCCAGCATTGCCCCGCCCCCCAGAGCGCTTGTCCTTACCGCTTCAGTCCAGACGGGTCCCACTTCCAGCCACCAGCACCAGCGTCCCGTCGTCTGAGCAATGTCCCTGGTCCCCGAACCCTGCTCTGCCTACCCCAGCAGCAGGGCAGAAGTCCCAGGAAATTCCCGCTCTGGGAGCAGTTCTCAATCAGTGATGGATGGGGTTGGTTACAAGTATCTCAGCCCCCTCCCCGCTCTGGGGGGGACAACTCTGATTCACCTGCACTGAATCCCGAAGTTTCTCAGCGTGACTAAGCCCGCCAGTGGCAGCTGACCTGACAATGTGCTCTTTACTGGCAGCCGTCTTTCTCTGTCTGACTTCTTCACTTCAGCTCCCCAAGAAAGAACTTGCTCTCAGTTCCTTGACTGGGATCTGCTTCCCTGAGAAGCCACACCAGGATGGAATGTTTGTTGAATGAATGAGCGAGTCTCTGTCCCAGTCCCCGCCCACCCACCCACCCACCCAGCACACCACGGCTGGGCACGAAAGCTGACTGCCAGCAGCCTCGCGTGCTCTGAGCCAGGGAGAGCGAACACCCAGCAGGGAATTTCAGACCTTCACTCCCCTCTCTGCTGGCATTTGTAACCGGGACACAGCCACGGGAACATGATTTTACCTCCAAGTGCGAAGTTGAGATGCGGAAGCGGAAGAGATGGTTAAGTCACAGACCACACGGCCCCCGAGGATGAAATGGGCTGAGGCGGCAGAGGCCAGGGCTGGCGAGATCACTCGCCAGGGATACTATACCACTCGCTTTCCATCTGCTCGGCACTCAACCGGCATCACAGCGTCCTCCTTACTTCCTGTGGCAGGAGCAGAGACCAGCGCCACTTGGGGTGTGTCACCCAGCAGCGCAGGGGAAATGGGGACAGGAGCGCAGTTCGCGGTTTCCCTCCCTTCTCTCCTCCACAAGCCGGGATTGTAACTTGGAAAGGGATTTGCAGCAGACCACACATGGCTCTGGGGTCAGCCAGCGTACCTCGTCTTTTATCCCTCCCAACCCTTCACCTACAATTCTCTTATTTCCCCCCTCATGGCACTTTAGTTGGCCACGCATAGGGAGACTGTGGCATGATTCTGTGGGGCCTGAGCCCTAGACAGGCTGGGAGAACATGAGGCCGAGTCCTGCAGGGCCTCTGAGGTCAGAAAAATCAGTGGTCCAGGACATGCTGTCCTCCCCAGGCCACACCCCGCCCACCTCTGAGGGGGAGGGGGGACAGAAGGGAGAAGCGGTCCCTGGGAAAACAGACTTGTGCTTCCCTCTACAACTCAGAAGTAGCCTTTAAATGAAATTTAACTAAATGTAGACAGGCAAAGTAATCTTAAGAAATCTAAGGACTCCAAGTATTGAAGAAGAGGGAGCCATATTTTAAGTGTGTGTGTGTGTGCGCGTGCACGTGCCTGTCTGCAGGTGTGTGCATGGGGGGAGCGTGTGTCAGGAAGACATTTCCCTCTCCCCATCAAAGTTCTCCTGGCTGGTCCAAGAATTAAACTGACATGAGAGATTAACAAATCAAAAGAGAAAAATCAAACAACAGTTTAATAACACGTGTACATGGGAGAGACCCAGGAAAACTGAGTAATTCACCTAAATGGCCAGAACTCTCACCTTAAATGCCACCTTCAGCCAAAGACAAAAGAGGATGTTGTGGGTAGTGGTTTGAGAACTCAAAGGGGAGGGAGGCAACTGACATGGAGATGGAAAAGCAAACATCTGGTAAACAAATGCTTGCGGGCCAGGCGGAGACAGCGGGACACAGAGAGGAAATTTAACGAACAGACTCTACTGGGCTCCTCCCTGTGGACACATCTAGTTCACACTCTAAGTATCCATGGTGATGCTCCCTTCCTGGAACAGGGCCTCCATCTACATTCTTTAAGCAGTTAGGGGAAGGTCAGAGGTTCTTCTGGAGTCTTTTAAGCCTCAAAAATAATCAGTGTAAATTAATCCTCATGCCAAAGAGACACATTTTTGGGGTAGCAAGTTTTGCTCCCCTACATGTATTCCTGTTGTTACTGGGACCTATCCCCTCCTCTCTAACACTGACTGACATGTCTCCCTGCTTCCGATACCTTCCTCTCACATCCAATCACCTACCAATCTTATTACTCCAAATCCTGCATTCAACTCCCCTACCTTAAAACCGGTGGCTCCAGTTGCCTCTAGGGGGCGTGCTGAAGTGCTGCAGAGCCCTGTAAGGTTCCTGGGCGGCATGAGGGAATGGTGGGGACTGAGGCCAACAGAGAGCCCATGCCTGGTTTAAAGGTAGCAGAGTAATCCCACAACTGCTCACTACAGAATCATGAGTGCAGTGATGTCACGTCTTCCCAGTCTACCAAGAGGTGCTAGGATGATACCGACTTTTAAAACTTCTTATAAATTTAACAAAGCAAGTACCTAGGATTAAAAAAACATTCATCTCATGGCATCAGCTCGCAAATTCCAGCCCAGAGGATCAAGTTTAAGCCCATTAGCATGGCATCCAACGCCCTTTATGGGCATGTCTATTCTTGGTTCTGTCCCAGTCAATCCCTTTTCCCCAAAGTCCCACAACCCCCAGAAGCTGCTCAAGTTAACATACAAGAGCAGAAGGAGAGAGAGTGGAGTCCACGTGGCGAGCTCGCCGTCTCTGCTTGGAATGCTGTTTAAGGTGGCTCTGAAGGAGGTGAGGGGGCACCCAGCCCCCGGGTCTCCTTCTTGACTCACATCCCCTCTGCTCCCACCCTGCCAGCTTGAAGACCCTGTTCCTCACACAGGATGTGGGGCTACGTTCTCATCCGCACAGTAAACCCAGGTCAGTCTTGAACTTGGCTCAGATCTCCCTCAAGACTCGCCAGGAGGAATCCTTCCCTTTCACTTCTCTACCTTGAATGCCTCTCACTATCACACGTGTCACAATGTTATGTATTTGTGCTTCTGGCGCCTGACTCCCCATCCCCCCCAACAGTGAGCTCTCAGAGTGTAGGGGGGCAGTCCTGTGTGGCATCTATGTCCTCAGGGCCTGGTTCACACAGTCCTCCTTCTCCCTCTGTCTCCTGCCGTCTGGAATCATCCATCACACTTCCACAAATACGCCAGACATCCAACCAATCACTCCTGATTGAAACGGAGCCAAAAGGAGATCTGAGAATTCACATGGCTGGGTTCCTGGCTCACAACTTCTCGGAGCCCTGCCCTCGCCGCCACCTGCCTAACCCACTTACTAATGCAGATTCCTGCTCCTCCGCCCGCAGGGGCTCTGCGACAGGCTCACCTGCTGCTCCGGGGTCTGGGCCGCACGGGGGCCCAGGTGGCCGGCGGAGCGCAGTGACGAGTCTGGCCAGATTGGAAAGGGGACAGCTCTGTCAGGATGCCTGGACACACCGTGTGCCCAAACAGAAGCGACGGGAAGGAGGACGCGGCCGCTCCCGCTGGCCTAGGAAGCGGCCCTGAAAGCGGGAGGGCCGTGGGATGGAGGGCGCAGGGGGTCGGCTCCCAAAGAGCGGCAGGGATTTCTAGGGAGGAGGAGTCAGGGGAAAGGCCTCGCTCGGTGGTGGATGAAAGCAGCTTCTATTTTTGGCCAAAGCCAAAGGGAGTGACTGTACTGAGATGTCGGGCCCTGTGGGCAGGAGGAGGGTGGGCGGGGACGGCCTCTGCCCCTCCTGCCCCTCCTGAGGCAGAAAGCAGGGAGGAGGCATCGCACCCCAGGGTCCGGCACCAGCTGCCCAAACCCTCATCCCCAGGTGGGCGCAGGGGCGGCGGCAAGGCCTTCTGGCTCGGGGTTTGGACTGCGTCCCACGCTTGCTGGAACCATGTAAGTCCACGGGGGGTGGGGGTGGGGTGGGGGTTAGTCCAGGAGGCCTCCCTGGATTCACAGGCCTGGGGGAATGCCACTGGGGTTGCAGAGGGTGTTTGGAAAATGTGCCTTTAACCTGAAAGGGGATCCTGTCACTTTGTTACTTTAACACTTCGGGGGAATGTCTGCTTTGTACCAGAGACTGGGGAGGGGTGTTATTTTATGTTTATTTTGCATGATTCTAATGTATTTTTATTTGCATTGCTTGGTTAACCCTCGTAACGCCCCTCGGGGTAGGCACTGTTCTCAGCCATCAGGAACTCCCGCTCCAGGTGCCCAGCTGCTGCTGCTGGGATAGTCCCCCCCCCACCACACACTCCTTTTCTTCGGGGGGGCTGGCGTTCATCCAGCTTCTGTCTGGCGACCTGGGGCGGAGGTGGAGGTGATCAAAGCGGGGGGAAATAGTGGAGGGGGCAGCCTGTCCCCTCCGAGCCCTTCAGTCCGCCTGGAGTCAGGTTAGGGATAAAGGGACCCAAGGAGTGTTCAGGAATGATTCAGGGAGACTCCAGGGCTGGGCAGAGCTGCTGCAGTTAAGGGGGAGAAGACCTTCTCTCCAACTGTATAGAAACAGCACTGCTCTGCTGCCCCACAGGGCGGGGAGATTTCAATGAATCCTCCAAAACCGGAAGAGTGAGGGTCCTGCCCTGATTTTCAGCCCAGGGCAGGGAAAGAGTGGGACACCACCAAAACAACTTAGGGGCAGTTACAGAGAAGAATAAAGCTGGCTTCCTGCGTCCACCCGGTGCGCCCTGTTTATTCACCATCGTCCTCCTACGTTGGTGGCAGCTTAGCCCACCTCCGGCCAAGTTGAGAGATGGCATTCACTGAGCAGCTGTTATCATTCCAAATTCCCTTCTGTCACCGTTGGGCAATGACAACGGACAAACCATTTAAGAGCTTCTGCCTTCCGAGCGCTGACAACTCAGATGCCGATGTCCTACAAAGCCAGGGACAGAAGGCCGCCCTCCAGCCCCCATGACCCGGGGAAGGAGACTAACTCCAACCAGGAGTTGCGGCAGGCTTCAGATTCCCATAATACTCCAGAGAGAATGAGTTCAGATCCTGACTTGGCCACCTGACAGCTGTGTGACCCCGGGCTAGTTACTTAACTTCTCTGTACCTCAGTTTCCTCATCTCTAAAATGAAGGTGATAAAAGTGAAAAATAAAATAAAATGAAACAAAAAGAAGTGAATCCCCAAAAGCACCCTTTCATGGCTTTGGCAGTCCGATGACAGGCGCCTCCTGGAGGTCTAGCAGAAATGAGGCAGGGGCGGTGGAGGATGTAGCAACTTTACTAAAACGGAGTCATTAGGGTCTAAAAAGGAAACACACAGCTTGCCTGTTAGAAGAAGAGAATGCATTTACAAGGGCAAAGCGGTCCATTTTTACAGGCAGCTGGCGGCAATAGGAATTACTGCAGAAAACCCTAGTCATTGTTGGCTAGTGAGCTGAACAACTATTGAGCCTGCGGTTTGTTTTGCTTTTTAAGAGTAACACTGGCGGACGAAGCAACGTTAGGATGGCAACACTCCCCAGCGTGGTCTACAGATTCCGCACAATCTTTCTGAAAATCCCAGCTGACTTGTTGGCATAAATTGACAAGTAGAGCCTAAATCCATACAGAAATGCAAGCGACCCAGGGTAGCCAACGCAATCTTGAAAAAGATTAAGTGGGAAGACAGACTCCCAACTTCAAAACTCACGACCAAAGGAAAAAAAAAACTAATCAAGATAGTGTGCACTGGCGTAAGGATAGACATATACTGGGAGTCCAGAAATAAAATCACTTTTTATAGCTAATTGATTTTTAACAAGGGCTCCAAGACAATCCAATGGGGGAAAACAGTCTTTCCAACAAATGGTGCTGGGATACCTGTGATTCCACGTGCAAAAGAATGGAAGCGGACCTGAACCTCACACCACGTATGAGGCCGACTTGAACTGAATCAGAGACTTAAGCGTAAGTGCTGAAACTGTGACACTCTTAGAAGAAAACAGGAGTGCATCTTTGTGACCCTGGATTAGACATGACACCAAAAGCACAAGCAACACAAGAAAAAATAGATGAATCCAACATCATTAAAATTAAACGCTTTTGTGTTTCAAAGGACACCATCAAGAAAGTGAGAAGACAGCCCACAGAATGGGAAGAATATTTGCAAATCTTTTACGTTAAGAGTCTAGTATCCAGAATATGTAAAGAACTCTTACCAATCAGGAATACAAGACAAGTAACCATTTTAATAGGCAAAGGATCTGAGTGTACATTTCTCTAAAGAAGACAGACAGACGGCCAGTGGGCACACGTAGAGATGCTCAGCTTCCCTAATCACTGGGGAAATGCAAGTCAGAGTCACAGTGAGATGCCACTTCACACCTACCGGGATGGCTATAGTCAAAAAGACGGACTAATAACAAGTGGCAGTGAGGATGTGGGGACATTGGAACCCTTATCCATTGCCGGTGGGAATGAAAACCGTGTTTCCCCTTTGGGAACTTGTACGGCAATTCTTCAACAAGTTAGACATGGAGGTAAACAGCAGTTCTCAGCCTAAGTATATACCCATGAGGACTGAAAACATACCCACACAATAACTTGTACCCAAATATTCACAGCAGCATTATTCATAAAGGCCAGAAAGTGGAAATAACCCACATGTCCATCAACTGATGAATGGATAAACAAAGGTGGTTTGGCTTTACAATGGACTATTATTTAGCCATTAAAAAGGAAGTTCTGATGTCTGCTGCAACATGGATGAACCTGAAAATGTTATGCTGAGTAAAAGAAGCCAGGCACAAAAGGACACGTATCTATATTCCACTTACATGAAGTCTGGAATAAGCAAAATACTTGTCGTCTGGGGGAGGGGACCGTGGGAGAGTGACTGCTGATGGGTGTGTGTTTCTTTTGGAGGTGATGAAAGTGTTCCAGAATTAGGCAGCTGTGATGCTGCACAACTTGGTGATTATGTTAAAACTGTTGAATTGTACACTTTAAAAGAGTGAATTTTATGGTATGTTAAGTACAGCTCAATTTTTTTAAATGCTCAGGTGTGGGTAAAAACTAAATAAAAAAGAAAGCCACGCTCAAGAAGTGTGGCCTGACAGTGCAGCCATCAGCTCATGCGACGTGAGGCCAGATCCTCGGAGAAACTCACTGCCCCTCACACTCTCCCTCAGGCAGAGAGCGCCTCTCCGTGAAGCCGGTGCAGAAAGGATTTCCCCCAGTCTCCTTCAAGAATCTCCACTACCCCCCGCCCACTGACCTCCCAGCCTCCTCTGCTGCATTACTGGGGAGAAGTAGGGGCCGGGGGGGCACGGCAGGGCTCGCGGTGGGGGCCTGTGGTTCCAGGACTCCTTCTGCTGGGGGAGCCTAGCCCGGTGTCGACAGGCACAGAAAAAAATCAGCAAGTGCCATGAGCTCTGCGACGAGGCTGATTAATAGAGCTGACGATTCGGGCTCTCAGACTTCCTGCAGTGACTTCCTATTCATGGTTGCCTTTGACTCTGTAACACCTGAGACCAGGACCACTGCGACCCCCTGGTACCGAAAAAGAAAACAAATCTGTGTTAGGAAAGGAAACACTAGCTGTAGGAACAGACCGGCTCTGACTCAGCAGTGGCTCAGCACAATACCAGTTTATTCCCTGTTCATGTAACAGTCACGTCCACAGACCACGTCTGGCGTGGCGGCCCTTCTCCCCGTGGTCTGCCCTCTTCTAAGCGCTCAGAGCTGTCTTCCCACCGGCAGGCAGGGAAGGGTGGGAAGCCCGTGGCCAGCCTGGACGTGGCGCACGCTCCTGTGTACATCCCACGGGCAAGAACACACCCCAGGGGCGCTGCTAGCTTCTGCAGTGTGCCCGGGGGAGAGGGGGTGATCTGAGGAAGACCACGCGATTTCTGCCAGGGTTTGGAGAGCGCACAGGCATTGCTGGAGGTCACACAGCCAACAAGAGGCAGAACCAAGATTGTAAACCAGGGCGGAGTCTTGGTCTGTCCGCCTTGTGCTTTTGCCCCTTTCCAGGTCCTCAAAGTCCTCGCCCCTCTGGCATGTCCTCTGGTCTCTTAGTACTAGCATCCTTCCAGGACACTGCTGCGAGATGACCATTAGGAAGGGTGAGAAAGTCTGATGAAACCGTTTGTGGGAAATACAGTTTTGAGCCTTTCCAGATCCACGGATAACACTTGCCCAGTGTTTTTTTCCCCCAGGTCTGTTTTGCCTTGATGAATTTCTCTAACTCCCCATTAAACATTAAAAGGGAGGCAGACACCAGCTTCAAGGCAGCTCATGACTGTGCTTATGATACACGCGGTCATTTATAGGTCTGTGTTTGCAAGAGCA